AAAACACCTACCGGTAGTTCAACTGCAAAAGATCCCGACGAGAGAACGATCTTTCCCAAGAATGAACCAAGAATTTTATTGAGAATTACTCAACAGAGTTTTAGAGATTACAATACTTTTCGAATGAATGTAAAAAAATAAGCTACTCTGTTTTTATACTCGTTGTAACAAACAGAAAGTAAACAGAACCAATCCGCCACGTGTTATTATTTGACTGGCTCTCCACTTCCGTTAGTAACAACCACTTCCGTCTACTCCTTTTAACGATCGTTAACTCCACTCGAATCCCTGTAACAAAGCTCCCTCCCTTCCAGAACCTTGACCACAAGGTTATATCTCAAAAGTAGGATACTTCTTTTGTATGTCAAACAAGTACTCCCACGTTGCTTCATCAGCTGTTTGGTTCTTCCATTGTATCAAGACCATTGTCGCAGCTCTGTCTTGACGTTTGACCATCTTCCGTGCCAAACACATCTCAGGTTCCTTGATCACCGTATCGTAAAGAACAGATGGTAATTGGTTAGAGGTCCTCACATTACCCACCAACTTCTTTAGTTGTGAAACATGAAAAACAGGATGAACTTGAGAAGTAGCCGGCAACTCCAATCTGTAAGCCACTGAACCATGTCTATCAACCACCTTGTAAGGACCATAATACTTCGGAGAGATCTTTTGAGAAGATCTGTTAGCCAACGTTTGTTGTCGATACGGTTGGAGTTTAACAAAGACCCAATCACCAATCTCAAATGAACGTTCTGTCCTCCTCCGATCTGCAATCTGCTTCATACGGTGTTGTGCCCTCAGCAAATGAAATTTCAGAATTAGCAACATATCTTCACGCTCTTGTAAGCATTTAGCCACCACCTGTACTTTGGACTCTCCAGGAAGGTAAGGTAAATGCACTGGAGGAACCTGACCATAGACAATCTCGTAAGGGGTAGTCTGAGTAGCTGTGTGAAAGCTTGTATTGTACCAAAATTCAGCTAATGGTAACCAACGACTCCATAAGGACGGTTTATCACTGGTCATACACCTCAGATATGTCTCTAAGCATCGGTTTACTACCTCCGTTTGACCATCACTCTGCGGGTGATAGGCAGTAGATAAGTGTAAAGCACAACCCTGAAGTGTGAATAACTCCTGCCAGAACTGACTCACAAAAACCGCGTCTCTATCACTGACAATAGAGCGAGGGAACCCATGGAGTTTGAACACATTGTCAAGGAAAACTTGAGCTACCGAGGCTGCAGTGTAAGGGTGACTTAAACTCATGAAGTGTGCAGCCTTACTGAAGCGATCTACCACCACCAAAATGACAGACTTCCCACATGAAACCGGTAAACCATCAATGAAATCTAACGACAAATCCATCCACACTCCTTCTGGAATAGCCAAAGGTTGTAACAAGCCGGGAGATGCTGCATTGTCATACTTGCATTGTTGACAAACTGTGCAAGATCGGATAAAAGCTTGAATATCTTTAGCCATTCCCTTCCAATAAAACAATCCTTTCACTCGTTGAACTGTCACATCTCTTCCCGAATGTCCCCCTTGACTAGACCCATGAAGCCACTCCAAGATAGAACTTCGCAGAGAGCTATCGTTAGGAACCACAATTTTATTCTTTCTTCTCAAAATACCCTGCATCCATCCAAAATGCTTCTTCCCTTTAGGATTCTTTGTCAACTCCTCAATGATAGCTTTCACACTACTGTCCTTATCATACGCTTCTTGAATCTGTTTTAACAAGTCACATTCCAAAACTGACATTGCCATATGTAGTATATCAGCTCCATCTACTCGAGATAATGCGTCTGCAACCACATTGTCTTTCCCTTGTTTATATTGTATCTCGTAGTCAAACTCCAACAGCTTAGGAAGCCACTGTTGCTGAACCGGAGTGTTGAGACGTTGTTCCAGGATGTACTTCAAACTTCGTTGGTCTGTCTTGATAATAAAGTGATTCGTAAGCAAATAGTGTCTCCATTTTTGCAGAGCAAATACAACCGCCAACAATTCTTTTTCATAAATGGAGAGACTCAATTGCTTCCCTTGTAAGTGACGACTTATGTAAGCCAAAGGGTGACCATCCTGCATCAACACCGCGCCAATACCCCTGCTACACGCATCAGTTTCCACAACAAAAGGTTTATCAAACCGTGGAAGAGCTAAAACTGGAGCAGAGCACAATGCCTCTTTCAACTTCTCAAAGGCTTCCTGAGCTTCTTCATTCCATTTAAACCCATCCTTCTTTGTCAACACTGTCAATGGCCTAGCAATGATTCCGAAATTCTGTACGAAACGCCTGTAATACCCTGCTAGACCCAGGAATCCCCGTAGCTTCTTAAGACTGTTAGGAACTGGCCATTCTGCTACAGCCTTGAGTTTATTTGGATCAGTAGATACCCCCTCCTTCTGTATATAATGACCCAGATATTCAACCCTTGTAGTAGCAAAAGCGCATTTACTCCTTTTAGCAAACATCTGATTCTTCCTCATCAACTCAAACACAACCCTCAAATGATTCACATGTTCTCCGCTTGATGCACTGTAGATTAGAATATCATCAAAGAAGATGAGAACAAATTTCCTCAAACAAGTCTTGAACACATCATTCATAAGGCCCTGAAATGTTGCTGGAGCATTTGTCAAACCAAAGGGCATAACCAAGTATTCATAATGCCCACTATGTGTTCTGAAAGCGGTTTTGTGTATGTCAGCCTTATCCATCCGTACTTGATGATAACCTGCTCGCAGGTCTATCTTAGAATAGATTGCAGAACCACCTAACTCATCCATCAAATCATCGATTAGTGGGATAGGGAAGCGGTCTTTAACCGTCATGTTGTTCAGCTTTCTGTAATCAACACAGAGCCTCCAAGTCCCATCTTTCTTCTTGACCAAGACAACCGGTGAAGCATAAGGACTAGAGCTCGGTTGTACGGTTCCAGCTTGAAGCAGTTCCTTTACCATCTTATCAATTTCATCCTTCTGATACACTGCATATCTGTACGGCCTTTGATTCACTGGGTTAGATCCTTCTGTCAGCACAATCTTATGGTTATGGTTATCACGGAATGGAGGTAATGTAGTTGGTTCTTGAAAAATATCAGAGAATTCCTCCGTTAATTCCTCAATCTTCTTAACTTCCTCCACTGCCACTTCACTCTTTCCAATAACGTGTAAACTCAGAGGATCCTCTGCATTCTCCTCAAATGCATAGATCATTTGTAACTGCATTTCAGACTCTTTGATCTGCTCCAACTTCTTGCTCTTCACTGCTCTTACCGAACCCGATCGAATCCCAGTTAATAACACTTTCCTAGAACCCCATTTAAAACTCATCTCCAGCTTATCAAAATCCCACGTTATTGGACCCAATGGTGCTAACCATTGTACTCCCAGCACTACGTCATGACAACCCAAAGGAATCACCATTAAGTCAGACTGAAACTGATGCCCTTGAAATTGCCATTTAAAATTCTTAATCTTGCCATGAATCTCTATCTTACTCCCATCTGCTACTGACACCTTCGCCTTTCCCATATCATGAATCTTACATCCCAATGTCTTAGCCACTTTGGTGTCGATGAAGTTGTGAGTGGAACCTGAATCAATCAAAATATACAAGGTTCTCTTACCATGAATCCCACGCACCTTCATGGTAGTGTAATCTGTAATGCCTGCAATGGCATTCACAGAGATTCTTGCTTTTTCCATTTCATCCAACTTCTCCAAATCTTCCTCATACTCCACAGCTTCATGGAACACCTCATCCTCTTCATAATCCATCACAAAAAGCTGTGATTTTTTATGTTTGAGATAATGATCTGGGGTAAACTTCTCATCACAATAGTAGCAGAGACCTTTAGCTCGTCTTTCACTCATCTCTGCATTAGACAACCGTGTTGGGTGGAAATTACTCTTTGTCACTACGGTTTCACTGTCTTTCTTGTTCTCCACGTTTCCTTTAAAACCCCCACCGCTTCTTGGTTGCACCACTGAACCTCCCTTATTCTGCGACCAATTGGTCTGCATTGCTTTCCTTGGATGAGCCTTTTCATATAACCTACCCAAAACCAAGCACTGTCTAGTTGACTGAGGTCTAAACATGCGAATGTGCATTTGAGTATCTAAACGCAAACCCGCCAGATAGGCACTCAACAGATATTCCTCAGACATCGTCAACCTAGCACGAATCAACTCAAATTTGGCATGATAGTCAGCAATACCATCTGTTTCTTTAAGTTCTTTCAACTCTGCAATGGGATCGTCTAACACCTCTTCAAAACGTTCTTTGATCAGAATCTTGTAAATCTGCCAATTCCTGACCAAATTACGTCCCTCTTCTCGAGCTAATGCTTGGTGCCAAGCCTTTGCAACACCATCAAAATGTAAAGAAGCTATTGCTACTTTAGATTCTTCCGGCGTCTGATCTATCACAAAAAATTCTTCCACCGAACTCAACCATTCCACCACCTTTTCACCATCAAATCGAGGAAAATCAATCTTAGCTAACCTCGTGACTCCATTGTAATTTTGATGACGACTTCTCCGATTCACATGCTCGTACTCATGCTGTAAATCTGGAGTAGAATGTGTTGGAGATACTCCTATACGATCTTCGCCCCCGCTTGTCGATGGAAGCAACGGATCTTTTCCGCTTGTTGATTTCTTCATAAACGCAAGAATATCCTTCATACTTTCACCAAACGTTGCCATCGTCTATAAAGCTTGCGTACGCTCCGCCATTTCATCAAACCGATTGTTCAAAGCTTCTTCGGTCTCTCTTGCTACGCCTTTCAACATTGCTACAGATCTTGTTTCCGCCATCGATCCAATCAATTTCTGTAACAAATTCCGAGAATCGATTAGCTCTGATACCACTGTTATCGGAATTAGGGATTCCGATAAGTTCCGATAAGATTCCGGCTAGATATTCCTAAAACACCTACCGGTAGTTCAACTGCAAAAGATCCCGACGAGAGAACGATCTTTCCCAAGAATGAACCAAGAATTTTATTGAGAATTACTCAACAGAGTTTTAGAGATTACAATACTTTTCGAATGAATGTAAAAAAATAAGCTACTCTGTTTTTATACTCGTTGTAACAAACAGAAAGTAAACAGAACCAATCCGCCACGTGTTATTATTTGACTGGCTCTCCACTTCCGTTAGTAACAACCACTTCCGTCTACTCCTTTTAACGATCGTTAACTCCACTCGAATCCCTGTAACATGCTACTTACTACAAAGAGTCTGAAAACACCCCCAAAAACTTCACAATAGGAGCTAAAACCACAACCCCAAAGTGTCTATACTCAGAGCTTTTAGTTTAACACGAGGACTCTCATCGGTAGAGCTTTGGTTAAAAAAACAGAAGGATGCACCAGAAAAGCGTATAGCATCTAAAAGACTCAATCAATTGGTAACCGGAGATAAGTGCTAGCCTTGTAGTGTAGCTCAGACAACGAGTGCTTTGAAGTTGGAGTATCAGAATCTAATGCAACCCCAGCGATGATCTGCTTTATCATTTCTGCCATTTTACGATCGGCCTTTTTATGGTTATTACCATATAAGCTTTCGAACTCTTGGGATTTAATCACGGCTCTCTCAAGTACATCATCTGGAAGACCTGTGGCGAACCCAAACAAAAAAAGAACACTGATCACTGAATGCTTTTGTTTCAAGTCAAAAGCTTTGAGGCGATGTTATTTACCAGCTAGGCGAGCAACGTTAACTCCGTAGCTTTTAGGACATGCACCAGGCGTCAATCTATATAGAAATGTAACTTCTTCTACTCCACCGCTTCCTTCTCCCACTTGACATCCCATATGGCAAAGCGATACCTATTATCCAAATAATATTATGAACGATTTGGGTAAGTTTCAGAATGTACACAGAATAGTAACAATCGGAGGATTGATAGTCTAAATAAGTCTACCATAGGCAGAATCTTATTGGTCACACTATCTGAACCAGACGGACACTTTTCAAATTACCTTTGGATTGGTTTGATAATCCATCGAGAGACGATGATAATGAGTAGAGAACATTCCTCTGCAATGCACTTTGTCTATGAAATGCTCAAGTACGGATTCCCTGTAACAAACATTAAATAGATAAAGTTTAGATAAAGTGAACACTAGCAGTATAAGATACGCAATAATGATTCAACATACGCAATGGCTTGCCCATCTGATGTGGCTGTTCCTCGTCCAAGCTCATCTAGCACCACCAGAGAATTTCGGGTTGCTGATGACTGCATATATATTATGACATTATAACCTTCTATCAACGTTTTTGTTGGTATTTCGCATAGTTTAGCAAAACTCAAAAGAATTAACAACTGTAGTAAGTATCACATCAATCTGAAGAAGCTTAATGTAACCAAAGTTGACAAACAGTATGAACACTAATTACCAGCATTAAAGCAGTTTCTGAAAGTTCTGTCAAAAATGTGCTTTGTCCTGCCATAATATGATCTTTTGCACCCATCCGGACAAAAATTCTGTCAACAGGCGAAAGCTCAAAGGTTTCTGCTGGGACATCTGCTCCAATCTGTGATAAAAAACCATCATTGCTTGAGTCTTTCTCATCAAACGTTTAATGGGTCAAGGTCTATCAGCCTTCAAATTAGAAAAACACGACGGTGTTACCTGAGCCAAGATCACAGCCAAGCAAACTTGGCGAAGAAGAGTTGATTTTCCACCCATATTAGGGCCTGTGAGGAGGATGAAGCTCGCCTGCTTAGAACCACCAATCTTCACATCATTTGGTACGAAAGAGCCTCTGCCTAGTGAATCACCCCTCAATACCGGATGCCCTAGACCAGTGGCGGACAAGTGTGGAACACCAACAGATGTACAGCCTGATATTACTGGGCGGCATCTTACTCCTTCATAAGAATCACTTGCAAAAGCGAGGCTGATCAACACGTCCAGCTCTGCAATAGAATGGATTTATGTCAACAACGCATCCACAGAAAGATCTAAGTGCAAACAAACTGTCTTCTACTCAAGCATATTTTGTTATCTCTAGCAGCAGGTTTTATTTCACACAATAAATTGCAGGGAGCTCTCAAATTCATTTCTTACCTGGATGTCTACTTCTAACTCAGTTTATTACGTGTTTAATCAAACTCAATTCTAACTGGAACGGCAAATGCTCACATGAATTTAAACATTAATTTGTCCATACCAGCTGTTGCAGAAACCAATTGTCTCCATTTTTCTTGATGCTCACAGAAACGTCCAATCAATCTTTGGGAAATGCTCTTTAGAGCCGACTCTTTTTCAGATTTCGCTTGTGCTAGCTCTTTTAATAATTTCTTGATGGTAGGAGTCCAATATCGAAAGACACCCTGAAAAGATGGATGTAAACAGTTAGGATTAAAATCAAGCTCTCAATAGTGTGGATACATCAGAAATTTTGAGAAGATTATAAATCCTCATAACATCACGACATCAGCAATTTTGTTTACCTTTTTGGATGAACATAATTCATAATCCTGGGGAACACTCCCACTTAAACTTTCAGGAACTTCCAAAAGGTATTCGTCTTTCCCAACTGTAACATACTTTATCTGGACAAGATCAACAAAACTCTGGTTAGCACCCTCGTTGATTAGGCATTTAAGGGGAAAAAAACATATATGAAAGTAATTCTCACTGATGCATCTCCGAGTAATTTTCGTTGCTCCTTCAGATGTTTTGTCAAACTGATTTCCAATTCGTTTACCGTTTTGCAGGTAAAATCATACTCTTCATCAGCTCCTTCATGAGGTACTACACGTCCAGAATCGTGAGCTTCTACCCAGTCAAAAGCATCCTTGAAATACTTAATGGAGGATGAGATGTTTGGAAGACTTTGACCTGGCATTAAAAGTATTTAAGACGCTGTGGATTTACTACTCTAAGATTGTGAATACTGAGAGTTATTGATGATACCAGGAGTAAGTAAATGACGCAGGCGTCTGGATTTATCATGCTCCAAACTAGCACGAAGGGAAGAGCATGCTTCTACCATTGTTTCACAACCACGTAGAGTTGAAATGAACTCTTGTAGCTGCTTCTTTGCTACATCCTCATACAGAACCACTTTATCTCCATTTCTTCCACTAGCTTCACTGTACCATGTAACACATGATTTTATTTTAACAAAAATGTTTAGTAGATCATTTAAACATGAAATGCAAGAAATAACATCTCAATCCAGCTAATCACTTACATGCTAGAAAAGATACGTGCAATCAATCGTTCCATGTCTGGAAGTCTTGACAGCGCCTTCCGGAATTCCAGCGAGTATGGGAGATTTTCCCCCTGAAAGTAGGGACAGTACCATAATACACAGAATTGTAAGACGGATAGCATAAATGTGAGTTCTAACATTGCATGCAGAGTAAGCTTCGTATTATTAAGAAAATTATTTCGAGAAAATAGATGGTTAGTTAAAATTTAAAAACACATCAAAATATCAGATTTGCCTTTGAGATACAGTGGCACACTGGCATAACATGATCTTGAACACCCAATGTATGCCATTGCGTGTAACACATACAAGCAGCATATAAAGTCGAGCAAAAATTTAAAGACTCACCCGAAGAATTGCTACAGCATCTTGACGTTCCTTGATCAGTTCTGGATTATATAAAGGTCTTGCCAGCCATGTTTTCAGTAACCGCTTCCCAGACGCAGTGATACATTGATTCAATTGTGCATACAGCGTTCTTCAAAAGACAACACTCACTTTTAGATTTGGAACACATCAGTTACGTTTAATAATAGATAGCAAGACTGAGATACTTTACCCCGAAACGCCTCCATTTCTGCTATTTTCAAATATCTCAAGGTTTTCCAGAGCAGCAGCATCAAGAACCATATGCTGTTTCTCAGTAAAGTTGCTGAAATCAGAGCAAGGCAGGGATTCAAACTTCGCATATCTAAGTAGACTCTCATCCAAGAAAGCTTGTCTCAGGTAGTAAATGGCACCACCGAGAGCAGAAAGTGCCAGGCTACCGTTCTTATCTCCATTCGCTAATTCAGACAACATTTTTGGTAGGAAGCTTGAACCACTTTCATGTTTAAGGGATGGATCCCCAAGAACCTTTCCCTCACCGGACGGTTGACAACTGATTCCCTTGTAGAAATTTTCAATTTCATGTATGGTCTTCTCTGCATCCCAGAATTCAGAACGTGGAACCAGATTGTTTACCAAGGGATTTCTGGTGTGTCTTATTATTGTTCTCTCTGTTGCAGAACTCAGCACATTAGCTGGTTTAATAATTTCCACCGGCCTTATCTCAGAGAGCACGCAAGACAATGCACTGCAATCTTGATCATCCTTGAACTGGTAGAATTGAAAAAAAAAATCCCATCAATTAGAGTAGAAAAGTCAAAATAGCCACAGACACGGTTACTAAGATAGATGATTCATGAATGCTACATATGTTAAGCATGCATCGCTTTTCTTTCAATCAATTCAATGAAAAGAACCCACCTGCCCCAGGATAATCTTCTTTGTTGCAACATCAACCAAACATACACCAAAATTGCGCTCTGCTTTCTCGTCAGTTAAACTCTCTCCTCCTTCAGTCAACGCCATCAGATAAGATGCATCTGGATTAGTTAATACCATCTCCCCATCTGTCAGCGTGCCTCTTGTAACAACTGCACATATTTCACGCTTCACAACCTACAATAACAGGAGTAATGTCACCAGGAAGCCTCCATACCATAATTTTCTAACAATAGCACCAACCGAAATAAATAAATTTTAATTTCATTAGCAATCAAATTGATTGGCTAGAAAGTGATGATGTCTACTATAACAAAATTCATAGTGGGACTTACTTTATCCTTGGAGCCTTTCTCTTTTCGGCGTCGCTCCAGCTGATCAGGTGTTTCTGTTTGCTCCACCACTAAAACCCGATAGCCCTGTTCCACACAACTCAATCAAACCTATTTCTATCCAAGAATAACTTCTGCAAATGAACGTGGCTTTTTCCCACACATAAAATGAAAGAAATCATACTTAGATTGGATTGCTATGATTCAGGAAACAAACCTTTTGAACTAATTTCTCGACGTTTACAGAGAAATTCTTCTCAGGAAATCCACAATGTGGTTGTTCTCCCTACAAACAAAAATCTACATCAGGTGCTTTTAAAGAAAAGAACATTATATAGGGAAAGAGCAAATGATAAATACATAGTGCAATACAAATGAAACTGAAAGGGGTCTTTTTAGTATGATTTGATGTCAATCCGTTGGTATGTTATAGACTTTTAAGAGATGAATCGAAAAGCATCAATAGTTATGAGCTATAAGAAATCCGTTACCTTCATGTACCGTAAATCAAGTTCCTTGGTTCCTACGTGCGCATCCATCTCATAAAGCTCATAGAATTTACCCATCTGTTTGTCATCAAAAGAAAACAATTTAATCCCCAAATCTCCCACCAATAAGTTCTGATGAGATAATCACTTATTGATCTACCTTGAAGAAAAGAACTTTGTCCATATGTTTTGATTTAAACTCCCACCATTGTCTCTGAAAAAGAGGTGACAACATCAAATAAGTGAAATTTGATTAGCTTCATCAACTATCATGACTTTCATGTGCTCTTACCTGGCCTCCTGTTAATCTCTTGACAAAATCAGGAGGAAGGTAGAGTGTCCTTGGATCATAATTCTCATCGGTGGGGCGTCTCCTTTTTGAATCTCTTCGGTCTCTGCTAGCAGAAATGATGTTCAAGAAAAAACACATTAAAATTTAGCTAAAACAGACAGGGATCACGCGACCTACTAACACGTCATGAGGTTAGAAGAAAATTAAAGATGTTCCTGCAAGTAGATATAATTATTGCTTAAGACACAAATTAAACTAAGTACATCTATGTAACTGGGCGCATATTATACATTCTAGTTACTCCTGACCAAAGTATCAAATAGCCTCTATCATGATGGAGAAAAATTGTGAAAGACTAACACTCCCATGAAGCGAAATTTCTCAGATTCACGAGCACCAAATCTAGCAAGAGCCTCCCCATCCAACATGTTATCATCCAAACCCTTGACCACCCTATCAGCTGCAGTAAAACAAAATAAAATTCAGCAACCAACAAAGAACACCATCTTAAATCCAAGTCAGTTCAAGATTCTCAGCTGTTGACAAGATGAAACCTTGAAGTATCACACACCAAAAATTGCATATATATACACGCCTTTAAAAGATTAGGATTACCTTCTTCAATCTTCTTCACAGGTTCCACAACAGAAGCCTTAAAACCTTTCAAGATACTTTCTTTATCAGTCTTGCTTTTCTTCTCACCACCTGATTTAGTTACTTCACTAGTCTTCTTCCGCTTTCTAGAGTCAGTTTTGGAAGGAGTCTCTTCATCTTTCTCCTCCACCATCTCCTCTTCATTCATCATATCATCCTCAGCATCCAACTCCACATCATCTTCTTCACTCTCACATACCTCCTTCCCCACGTTCTTTCCCCAGTCCTCATCACTAGAATCACCTTCTTCACTTTTATTTTCTTTCTCTTCTTCCACATTACCCATCTCCACATCCTCATCATCTTCATCAGTCACAACTCTTCTGAAAGACGAAGCTCCTCGTCTCAATCGCTTAAACCTTGCTCCTGATTTTTCCCCAACAACCCATTCAATCTTCTCCTTCCCCAAATCCAAAGACTCCTCTTCTCCATCTTCATACTCAACCATATGCTTACCTTCACCCTTATCATAGGATGTCACGGTCCCATCATACCATTTCTTATCCAACGGCCAATAAACCCTAACTTGCTTCCCCACCACCTCGTCTCCGTACTTAGTTTCCTCCGATTTGGGAGGCGAAGGTGTCTGTCCGATGACGAGGAGTGGCTTCTTTAGCTTGGGATGAACAGGAGAAGGAGTCGTCGGACTAGGGCTGGGACTACGAGCAGGAGAGTTCGATTTGGGGATTTTCTTATTGGAGAGAGGCGGAGAGCTAGGGTTAGGGTTAGATTTGGGAGCTTTGCTATTGGAGAGAGGCGGAGAATTAGGGTTAGGGTTAGATTTGGGGGTTTTGGTGTTGGAGAGAGGTGACGGAGACGGAGAATTAGGGTTAGGATTGGATTTGGGGGTTTTGTGATTGGAGAGTGGTGAAGGAGAGTGAGAAGGAGATGAAGCGGATTTGCCGAAGAAGGAGGTGATTTGACGCTGAGGATTCACCAATGGAGACCTTCCGCTGATCTGACGGCGAGACGGGGCCATGAGGAGAGGAAACAGAAAGGCTATAGAGAGAGAGAGGGGGAGGGAGAGAGTGTGTGGTGATGGGAAGTGGGAGGTTAGAGGGAATATAGTGTACAGATTGCGCGGGAATTTTCACCGGGAAAGACGCCGGCGACGCTTCTGAAATGGCGGGAAACAACGTCTAGTTAAGAGTAAAATAGTGAAGGTCTATGTTGCTTAGAGTGTGTATCATCTCGAAAAGCCGTTGTTGCAGGACCAGTGAGATATCAATATGGGCCCAGCAAGGCCCATTAGTTATAATTATCGAATACAACAACCGGTTGAAATTGAACCGATCATTTTGTTTCTAGAATTTCCCGGACCTTAAACAAACTAAACCGGAAACAAAAAAAACAATCTGGAATTTCCGCAGTTTGATTCTCCTCTCCATTTGATCCTTCCTTCCCTTTTCTTGGTTGCTTCTTCTTGTAGTTCTTTCTAGAGTTGTTTTAGTTATTAAAGTTTGTGATTTGTTCTATGTTATAATCTAGCTTTACGTTTTGGTTTTGAGATTATATCCATTAACGCTAAGGTGTTGGTTTTTGGTTTCGAAAATTCTCTAAACTCTTTGATTTTGTATCTGACCTTTTACAGCTTTGTGTATTTTGAAAGAATGTGACAGACTGAATTAACTGTCCTATTGATCGGATAAATATAAACCATGATACACACTACACACAAAGCCTTAAGTTTGATGAACAAGCTGGAATCTATGATTAGTCTAATTACATAGGAGGATAGGATCATATTCATTCAAACACATTTTCAAATTGGATATGGATAGAAAGACTTGTTACTTAACACATTCTTACAAATTGGAGGGAGAACGAAGATTGAAAATATTTAACTTAAAAACTTTTTTTTTTTTTTGACCAAAAAAAACATATTTTCAAATGCACATTTTCCTATAGGTTTTGTGAATATATCAATTACCTTGTGTTCATTCAATCATTTGAGTTTCTTCAAAAGCAAACAACATAGAGTGATACTCAGCCTCGCCCGAAGAACCTAAAAAAGAGTTAAAGGGCACTACCCAGTCAGAGGTTGCACAGTCTAATGAAAAAGCAAATCACACTTGGAACTTAGCAAAATCACTTGTCAATGGGTTTTTCAGATATCTAATCACTCCACTACATAATTCCAATGTTCACATTTTCCAGCAATTATACAAAAGATAGTTTTTTTGCTTCGCAGTCCTTAAACAGGTAATTCTACAACAAAAACCTAAGATAATAAAGAAAGCACACATAACCAAAGACGACATACTTGGTTTCCAGAATCCATTTTTTGTTATGGTGTTACTTGATTTTTTATAAAGAAAATGGATTCAGATGAAACGAATGTCAAAGGTGTTGGGATCAATCTGCCAAACATTCAAAGCTGCATACTCCTCCAAACACTCTTTTAGCTGAGCCTCACTGTATCCCTGTTTTACATTCAAATCACTCAAGTCTCAGTATTGATCTATCATCCATTTAGATGAAATAATAAGAAGATGAAGAAGTAACAGACCTTTCTGGAGATCCAGTTAAGCGCATTTGCGTAGCTCACATGAGTCTTGTTCGATCTTGCAGCTTCGTCTCTTATGATGGAGTATGTGTCTGATATTGCATCTAGTCCTGCTTTTTGTCTATCATCCGCGTACAATGATATCTTCGACATTTGCATTAGTCTAAGCGCCTCATCCACGTCACTTTGTGCCACTGATTCTGAAAATCTCAACCTTGCTAGTGCCTAAGAAGACAAAAGCAAAACCATTTACTCTCATTGACTCAATCCTACCCAAGTCTTCTACTTCCAAGTTTTGTTTTTCTTAGTTCTACTTACAGCGGATATGCGCAGAATGCTGAGGAGAGTTCTCACTGTTGTGTAAGAATGAGGAGAGTTTGATCTTGCTTCTTCTTGCCTGATGCTGGAGTAAGCTGTTGCTATGTACTCCTCTAACTCTGCTGGAACGTATGGGGATAATCTCCTCGCAGCTGAAATGTATGCACTAGAGAAACCAGAGATGCTCATGTTAGAGTCTGTGACTCTGTAGAACAATAAGAATTGTATAAAAGTGATTTAACTTTACCGGAGAATGTTAGGTTCCAGCGGCTCAAAGCCAAGCGCAGGAGACTCTTGTGTCTGGTGCACATGAAGCACGTGCTTAGCCAGTTCAAGGTCGCTGTCCATATCAGCTCGATCTAAGATCAACCAAAGAAGATCGAATCTTGAAAGCAGGGCTGGCGGAAGATTTATGTTTTCAGCTGGGGTTCTTCGCAAATCATATCTTCCCCTTTATAAAACACAAAGATGCATACATTTAGTAACTGATAGCACCGTTAATCAAAACCTTTTATACATTATTGAAAAAGGTCAGTTACAACTTACCAGGCTGGATTGGCTGCAGCAAGAACAGCTGTTCTAGCGTTCAAAGACGTGGTTATCCCAGCTTTGGCAATGCTTACAGTTTGCTGCTCCATGACCTCATGAATTGCAGTACGATCTGATTCATCCATCTTATCAAACTCATCGATTGCACAGATTCCCATGTCAGCCAGGACCTGAAACAAGACAATTGTATCAAATGTTCTAAATCACATAGCTCTTAGCAAGAATCATCAAGTTTTCTAAGAGCATCCAAAGCAGAGAATCATTGTATCTCTCACCAGTGCTCCTCCTTCTAAAACCATCTCATTTGTTACTTGATCCCTCATAACAGCCGCAGTTAGACCAACGCCACTGCTACCTTTTCCAGTTGTGTAGACTCCCCTTGGAGCAACATTTATTATGTGCTTGAGAAGCTGACTTTTGGCAACTCCAGGATCACCCATCAGACATATATGCACATCTCCTCTGATCTGCAAAATAATTCATGCATGACTAATTTTAGTTATACGTAAATAAATGCAATGTGCTTTAACACATCTGTACGCAAATATAAATCATAAAGCTTTATAACTCAATCCACGAAGACTATGGACAGTTTAAGTGAATGGAAAGAGGTAAGAAAATATTGGAGATCAAGTAAACAAAGATACTGGTTTTAACCAGTGTTTAGTTCTCATCAAATAAAGGAAATATCGTAAGATAAAAACTAGAGGATATGAGATTCACCTTCATCCCATCCTTTAACTGCCTGTGAGGAGCACCCACAAGCAGGAGAAGCAAAGCTTTTTTGATATCTTCATGTCCATAAATCTCAGGGGCCAGGGATCGCGATAGCTTATTGTAAATGTCACCATCCTCAGCCAAACGTGCAATCTGTTCTTCCTCATCTTTCTGGAACTCATATCTGTAGATTATAATTAAAAAAAAAAAGTCAAGATGCTTTCTGATATTATAGACTCACCAAAGCAACTTTATAACTTGAGCAAATGCCAAAAACATGGAATATGTTTTACTAAATCAGATATTTATTCAGAGTCAAAGGTGTAGCATTGGCTTACTCCTCGTATTTCTTCTTGAAATGAGTCACAGCTGTTGCTTCCAGATATGTGTCTGCTACTAGGCCAGCTCGAAGTGCCTTAAACCCAGTGTAAGGAATGGGAAGAAAAATTCCTGAGAATTCAACAACATCACCAGGTGCTACCTACAAGGGTTTACATGAATCAAGAAGTTATCGATCGAGTCCAGGTACAGCAATGGGAAAACTATTCTTGAATGCAGGGAGTATTCAATTTGTACGCTGCACCATAAGAAATTATTTACTTCGCAGTTCGCATTTAATAAAAGTTTCTAGACTCCTGGCGGTGTTCACTGATATGTTAAGAGCTCTTTGAATCCATTTAGCTAAAATATCGCTATATTCAATAACTGCTGACCCTGTGCTTCTAAGCGGCATAATGCCTTCACCTTGAACTAAGCCGAGGCAACCTAGCAACTGATTCAGAAAGAAGAACAACTAGACTCCAAAAATAGCATGAAAGCAAGGTCAAGAAAACAACCTTTCTTGTCAACTCTCCTCTTAGATGAACAGTCATTGACCTCGGGATATGCCCTTTGGGTACGTGCTCAGCCAACTCTTGCATCTTAGCCTGCAATACAATGAATCATAATACTCATTAGTTTGTGTAAAATGCAGTATTAAGATAACTCAAACCAGAACAGAACCTCCTGAAACTTGAGAAACTTTGATGCCCTGAGCTGAAGAATAGGATTCCCGGCTTTGCTGTTAACGCGACAGCGGCTGGAGGGGCACTTAAACAAAGGCATGAAAACTCTTGATGTTACTTCCTGATTTAGCATGTAACAGAAAAAAATCAGAATTAGTAGTTATTAGAAAAAAACATAAACTACGATCTGGCAGGCAAAGGTTAGGTACCTGATAAATTTCATGACCACAATCCTCACATGTGTATACAGCAACTGCCATCAGTGGCTTGACATCCGAACAACGGGTCACAATACCGGCAATCCTGACAAGTTGCCCAATGTGTGAAGCCTTAACCTCCCTAATGGTAGATGGCCGTCCCTTTGAAGGAGCCTTAAAATAAACCTCACTGAATCAAATTAAAATTAATTAGCAGCAATCCACAAACAATGCAGGACCTCTAACACATATATACTTTGGGTATAAACGTACTAAAATCTTTTAATCTCAGAAGGAATTTGCTGACGCGGATCAGAAACATCAGCATTATTATCAGTTCCATCCTCTGCTCTCTGTGTCATGAGTATGTCATGATCATCATCCGGAAACGCCTCAGTGGGTTCAGGAAGCAGCTCGTCAATAGCAGAGGAGAAAATGGAGACATATCGGCGTGTGTTCTCAGTCAACCGTGTCATAAAATCATGAAACTCATCAAAACCCTTGTACTTCAACAACAAAGACAAAAAGTAAGCTTCTCTATCACTCACTTCATCTAAAAACGAAAGATAACGATAGAAAAGAGTAACTCACATTGATTAGGTCTTGGAGATCAACCTGAACAGCCCTAACCTTACGATTCGCAACTTCTTGCTACAGAAAAGAGGGAACTTATAAGGAGCCCAGAAATCATGAAACCCTTATCTACCAATTCCACTAATTTAATCGAATAAGCCCTAACTGACGAAGATTCTCGAAACCCTAGATGAGGAAATCGTAAATGAATCTACCAAATTTCAATCG